GGGTTCGGCAACATTATAACTGTGGTGTACCAAATTAATATGATTCAGTGTGCCACGTAGCAGGAAATATTTTGAACAATTTGATTCATGTGGCAATGCATCCAGAGATAGGGAACAGAGGTCAAAAATATAGATTTAGTTTGATTATATATTAACTATGCATCAATTAAAGTATTTATTAACATAAAATAAACTATTCCTTCAACATAAATAAAAATTGTTAGAATATTTATAAAAACAAGAAATAAAGTGTAAAAAATAGGGGTTCATGCAACACAGTTTTATCAAGAATTAAAATTTTAATGTGAACCTTGTCCCTACAAAGCTCTACTTAGCATTGCAATATCAGGGATATAATTTGTTAACTTTCTATTTGATACATGATTCTGAATGTTCTTTTGTTAAACAACTTTGTGGTTTCAACATATTTCATATGAGGAAAAAAAATTGTTAATATAGATATGAAGAACAAAAAGTGGCAAAGCAGAGCATATGCAATTTTCTTCAAACAATTAAATCATTTTGTCAATGATGAACAGAAATTCAAAATAGTTATCGATAGTCCATCCCCCCCCCCTTCGTGATCTTTCCATAATTCCATAAATTTTGCTTTCAACAACACTGAAGATTTGTTTCACAACACAGCAATGGGTGATGTTTCATTTTACAAGTATTACACAATCGTTTTGGTTTGAATTAAATATTTAATGCAAAGAATGAGCCCCATTCAAAGAGGATTTTTTTTAAAAAAAATAAATGCTACAAACTACACCCAAGCAGATTCAGCAGCAAAATTTATGGCAAAGAATTCAAAGTAAGAAATATTCTTTATGTGTCAGGTGTAGAGAGGAGAGACAAAGAGATTTAACTTTGTTTCATAGCTTTGTAGAGTGCCACTGAGGCTCTGCAAGTCACATCTGCCATAGGTTACCAACCCCTACTTTATAGACTGTTTCAGATCTCATCACTTCTGTATCAACATTGCTAACTCCCCACATAGTATACTTTGTGAGTCTTGTCAACCTATGACAAACAAAATTTAGATGTGTTTGCTAAGTTTTTTTATTGTATTGTTACAAAATACTGCAGAGCTCATGTACTGATGACATAAATGCTAATTTGTATGTAGCATTTGCTAAGACATATTCCTACAATGGATTGGTTTTTTTTTCTTCATGTAATTATGATCAAATTGGTTGCAAAATAGCTTCAAATAAACTTTTGAACTATTCTGATTGTATTATAAACATCAAAGTAATAAATGAAACATGTTTTAGAAGGGGGGGGGGGAGAAGTAATTTTTCACAGTTAATAAAAAACATTTAAAATATTTGAAACAAAAAAAAATATGTTCTATAAAGATGACAGGAAGTGAAATAGTTAATTAAAAACTAGCAGAAAAAAAACCCTTACTTTTGGTTAACTATGACATAAAAACAAAATAAAGTTAAGTGAGACACACCAAGATACCTCAGTAATGTAGTTAAGTAGAATTATGTCATATGGCATATAAAATGACAAAAATAAAAACTTTATTACAGTTTCATGTACAATAATAAAAATCACATATCAGGAGCTTTACTTGGTTTTCTACTGAGTATTCGTTTCTTCTTTTTTTGTATATTTTGATGGTGAATAGCTTCTTCTTTGCTCTTCTCTTTACGATGAAGGGTAACTCGTTCCAACATTGCCTTATTTTCCTTTTCTACTTTATTTTCATGGACAGTCTTTAACATATTCATTAATTTGGTAATCTAAACAAAAACATTTATGCAAATAAGACTTGATATCATTAAAAATATATATTTTTTACATGGTATCAAAACAGGATACTTTCAGAAAATTTTTAATGGGAAAAAATTTAAATCATAACATATAACCTATTACAGGAGTATTGTTTCATACTGCTAATATTTCTAATGGGCCTGCAAATTGGTGCTTTACCATTGCAAACCTAGTACATTTCACAGCAGCTGGTACCTCTTTTTAGTGGGGCACCATGCAGGTAAATACCAATTGCCACAGGTAATTTTGATGCCCAGTTTTCTCCCCAAAGGAAGGCACCTCAGCTCTGGCAATGGAAAACTGTACAAAACAAAAACCTGCACTAAAACCAAACAGGCACTCAAGGGATCTTTTACATCCTGCATAATCATGTACCATGGCCACTCTTGATTTTTTGCATCATGAAAATCCATCAACTAGGATCGGGTCGAACCTGCAACCTTAGACATACAAGGCTAGTGACAAACCAACTATGCCTACAATATTGCTAATAGGCCATTTAAATAGTTGAAGCATAATTAATAATAACTTTGAAAACATCACAACAATTCAAAAGTAACATATGCTCCATATTTTAAACTAATTCATTACAATGCAATACCAAAACAAATATTCTTTCTCACTAAATTAAAATATTTACTTTTGTAAATATCTTTTAATTAATTTTCCATTTAATTATTCATTCAAAAACTTCATATTTATCACATACATGAACTTCAAATATGAAATGTTATTGAAAAACATTGTTCTTAACTTCTTAAGTTTGAGAAAATTTTTCTTAAAAAACACATTTTAACACTAATTTTAGTTTAACACGATTGATTCCCAAACAAGAAGAAACACATACCTCTCGCTCACGAGGCTCCTTAATAACAGCTATTCTCTCATTCTCAGGATCTGTATGCTTTTTAGGTTGGTGTACAATTTTATCTTTGAAGGGTAAAGCTTTCTGTAACTTTTTAGGTACAACCAAAGGTGCAAATTTTCTAATTTTCCTTTCAATAGGCTGTAGGAAAAAAAATTATATTAAAAGTATTTTCTGCAAATAATAAAAGACAAACAATTAATTAACATACTGAACTGAACTCAGTGTTATAACAGCCCACGAGGGTCAAGGCCTACTGTGTCTATCTCAGTTTACATGACCTTAGGCACTGGGGTGAATGTGAAGATGTTTCGGTCAAGTGGTCAGTCTGGCACAAAACCCCCAGCATTCCATTCCCAAGTAAGCTTGGTACTCATTTATCAACCCACTAAAGAAATGAAAGGCTGAGTCAACCTTTCCCAGCCTGGGATGTGAACCCCGGACCTATGGCATGGAAGCGTGATACACTACTACTCAGCCACTGAGCTTCTAATTAACATACAGCAATACATAAATGGTGAATCCCAGATATACTGTATTCAATAATGTCAAAATCAATGATTCAGTTAATGGTAAAGATGTTCAAATATAAGCTTTCCAATTTGGATTTCAAATTGGAATTCATACATCCAAGTTTCTTTCCACTATAACTTTGAAAGTTATTTCTGATTCAAAATTCTATTTCTATTATATTATTTCATACAGTGATCTTTCCTGAAAATAGCTCATAAATTTATAAGATTGCGACAGTCAGATATGGGTGAACCTAAACCTTTTCTTATGAATAAAAAATATAAATAAATCACATAAAAATGTATTAAAATAAGAGTAAACATTTGTACATGTATCTAACACACACATATATGTGCATGCATCTGACCAAACTTCGGAACATACCTCATAGAACAAATCTGAATATCAAATTACAACAAAAATACAATTACAAGAAAATAATTCTTGTACCAAATTTAAACATTCAGTTTATAAATTAAATCCAGGAATACTCCTAAAAATGTTTCAAAAACTACAAATTGAAAATAATTTTGCAATTCCTTGTCTAATTAAATCGCACAACTAAAAAACTTCCATTACTCTAAATAGCACATGGGTAACATATATATATATAATGTCCAATTTGATACACATAAGCATTTTTAATACCCTCTCGTGAATTTTTCTCAAAAAAAATTACTTACTGTATATTTAGAGTCTTCTGACATAGGAACTTTTAGACCTTTATCATAGCGAAGGCGACCTAAAGTTCTACAACCCTGCCATTTTGATTTTTGATCAGAGGGTAACAATAATGATGTAACAGGAATGCAAAACTGAGGAATTGGGACTTTTACCCACGTTCTTAAAAAAACTATATCTATAAATGAAAAGGAAAAGAATTAAAAAGAAGAAACTACCACAATTAATAATCAAAATCATAAATGATCAAAGGAAAGTATTCATCACTTAAATTATTCTTTATCAAGCACATAGAAAGAAAGATATTTTCATTAAGCTGGTCACAAAATCTTACTAACTGGAACACTTTTTACAGTGACACACAAAATAAATAGAAATAAATCAGTTTACATTTTGTTGTAATTAATTTTACTGCAATATGCTTAAAAAACTTAGCTATAAAACAAGAAATGGTTGTAGTTAGTTTCAGTTTGTCTGGAGCTGATAACATTTGATGATTTATTACCAGCACCCACTAATAAAACAATACCTAAATAAAAATATATCCATACTATAAAAAATTTCATAATTCAATTTAGACACAAAAATTCTGATAGCCAAGAGTTTTTAACAAAATTTTTGAAAGTAGTTTTTAGATATTTAGAAAAACTTTGAAGATTGGGAAAATAAGTACAAATAGTAGCATAATTGATTTCAAACAACATTTTTGCAACATTTAACAAATCAAAGAGTAATTTTTAAAGAAAATAGGAGTTACTTCCTACAAATAAAGAACTCTTTCATTTATATTCACAGAAATATTAATAACTGATTATCAGTACATATATGAATTACATACTATTACTAAATATAAATTAAAGCTAACAAGTAATACAAAAAAAAATTGTCAATTCCTACTTAGGTCAACAAAGAAAATTTTATCTTAGTTACATTTTATCAAATAATTCCATTTAATATAAATATGTTTATACATATGACCAAATCATAAAATTAAGTGGCAAAATAGAAAGCAATTTTCCTCGCAATTTCCCAATTTCCTCTCTATATATGGTGTTTGGACAATTATTTTTGTTTGTTACTGTTTATTCATTCATTAAATTTAATTATTTCAATAAAATAGTATAGTAAAAAGAAATCACATTCTCAGAAACTAAGCCATCCCAGGTGGGATTGAAATCCACGACTTTTGGATTAGAAGTCCAACGTGTTACCCATTGCGCTACAGGGATACGAGTGATTTTCCTTTTTATATATGATTATTATTTTTGTTTATTATTAATTATTTGTTAATTAATGAATTAATATTTGAAAAACTATATTAACAACAAGTGCCATCCACTAAAAGTTATAAAAAATTTATTTGAACTACAGTGGATGAATAAAAAGTATTTTATTACTGATTGAAAATTTGAACAAGATATATATATATATATAGGGAGAGTGTGAACTAATAGTAGGAATGTAAAAAATGGATAAATAATTGCCACTGTCAATGCAAACTTGGGGAATACCCTATAAGTAACTATTCTTACATGTGTAAACAAAAAAAATATTAGCTGATATCAGTACTATACTGAAAAGTGCATATTCTAATATTTGAATCTGCAAAGAGGAATAAAACATATTTATAAAAAAAATATATACATCAAATCCTGTTTTCAATACATCAAAACAAGGAATACGATAAATGAATTTTAACTTACCACTCATAAGTATTTTATCCTCAAATTTAGCACGGAAATCTCCAGGAGGAGTCTTAAAAAGAAAAGTTTAAAATAACTAAATTGAACTTACTACTAAATGTATCATTAACTGGTAAATGACCAGATGTAAGCTTTTGATTAGAAAATTAACAAATAATGTTACCATTTTTCACACTTGACTTATAGTAGTAAATATAAACAATAAGTTTTTAAGTTTAATTTATTTTAGACTAAGAAAAAAATGTGAGTGTATCATTATTATAACAGGTCATTTAAAAAAAAAGAAATTTATTGCATTATGAGATTAGAGATCAAAATGCAAAAAAGATATACTAAATTCTCAGAAGGAAAAAATAACATGGAAGAGTTTTTGAAAATTAACTTTCTGGAAGTGAATTTAGATTGTCTAAAAGTAAGAAAGATCTATTAAATGCTGCATTTGTGTCTACAAACACTGACAATGGAGGGAAAAATATTTTGAATATTTATGGAGTAAGAAAAAGAGATTGCCTGCAAGTTCTAAAAATGAAAATGATCAGAAAATTAAGATTGAAGGAACTGTTAGGGAAGCATAATTATATATAAAAGAGCAATTTATTCCATTTTCAAGAAAAAGCCAGAAGACTATATTGTAAAGATAAACATTTTTATTGAAATATTACTTTAAAGTTTTACATATAAAACATATTTTTAATTTTTTACAATATTAATCAGTTTTTTTCTTCTTTTTGAGTCATTTTAATGTTACATTCAGATAATTTAACACACAGTTAAAGCCCTGCTTAATTTTATACTATGGGTCAAAGCATCAAACTTGTGGCTTCTATTTTGCCATAAAAACCACATGAACAAAAAATACAAACACAACGAACACACAAAAGAAAACTAATAAACAGTGCTTTGCTAGGTAATTTCTAATAATACAAATATTTTTTCCTTAAAAAAAAAAGATTATGTTTTAAATACTTAATTTCTATTATACTACAAAAAATTCCAAAATTCTATTTTTTCTTAACTTTTAAGAAATTAGTCATCAAGATTAGCAGAACGTAACTACAATTAAATGAAATATTTTAATGTAAATTAAATTCCTTTTGTTAAGAAAAAAAGTTTATGCTCTGTGACATATTAAAAAAAAAGAGAGAATTGTCATTAGATGCTAGTTGTGCTCAGTCTAAAAAGAGAATTTCTATAAGTAAATTTATTTGGAGAACATATGTTTTACTACGAATTGCAATTTTCTGAGACATTACTCTATATTTATGTTCTAATAGAAAAATTAGAATTACATTTTTAAAAAAGATAAGTTATCAGATTTTTCAAAGTACACACAGTCGAACCTCTATTGTAACAAAGTCAGTAAATCCCGAAAAAAGTCTGTGATGCAGAAAATTTGTAAAACAAAGATTCATCCTTTAATATACTCTAGAAACTACATGAAACATAATTTAAATTCATAAGCACTATATGTTATTAAAAAAAGTAATTATTCACACTTTCTTTGCAAATTAATAGTTATTTATTTTATAAATCTTACCTATAAAAAAAATCTGCAAGGAAAGCAAGAAGAAAACGTTGTCCAGAAATATGCTATATTTTTAATTTAAAAAAAAATATTCAATTAATGAGTTTTTCTGACACTTTCTAAGCCTTTTCATAATTTTAAACTTACATTATTTTATAACCAGTAATTTTAAGCATACCATATGGATCCTTAAATTTAATTACTGATAAAATCCGTTAATTTCATTTGAAAAATTATGGCAATTTTATTGATTTGGTAAAATCTATTCGAGGCCATTGATCACCATAAAATGTGTTAAAAAGGATAATAATTTGAAATGCCTAGGAATGTTTTTAAAATGGTGAGAAAAAAATCAAACCAAAAGGGGAAAACATTTGTTAAACAGAAAATGCATTTCCTCTTACAAAAAAAAAAAAAAAAAATAGAAATAGTTCTTGGTTCCCGGAAAAAGTTCCCAAATAGAGGTTTGTAAAATGGAGAGGGCTGACTGTACATATTTTGCTAATTTTATTTAACATTTATGTGCATCATAAAGAAAAATGACGGGAAACATTATTAATTGTACAGAACAGACAACAACAGCAAGTATTGAATACTAATACACACAAAAACAGCTGTAGAGCTAGCTACTTACATGCAATGCTTTTTTTATCAGTCCTCTAATACCGCTCACAGTTCTAATTGCTGCACCCTCATATTTTGCAACTTCAAGAGGGGAAGTAAACATACTCTAAAAATAAAAGGAATAATTAAGGGGGGGGGGAGTATTTATTCATTAAATTAGAAAAACTATTCTACCATATCAAGAAAAAAGTACATAAGAAGCAAAACTATTTTTGGTTCAAAAATTGATATGATGAGGTGTGTTCTATAACTTAAAATTGAAAAGTAAAGAATATTCTAAGTCATAGGTCTCCCTATGTGACTTATGCGGCCATCATAGAAGTTAGATCATGTATTGATTGATATTCACTTAAATAACAACTTGACAATTTATATTTATACTATTCATTGTTTAATTGAAATAGGTTGAAGTGGTTGCTGGTGTTTGTATTTCTAATGACAGAACACCACTTAATACAAAATAGCAATGCTGCCGAACATGTTATTGATCTCTATGAAAAATCTATTTTCTTAATGTTAATGTTGCATACAAAAATGAAGACATTATATAAATTACCTTAATGAAAGCTGTTTTTTTAAATACTTCCCTAGGATATCCCTTGAGCTTCAATTTCTTCACAACATTTGTTACCTGATTCACTTCAACAATGCTTCCAACAAGTGCAATTCTGAAGTTCAACTGAAATTTAAAATAAAGTAAAACAGATTTTTTACACACTAATACCAAAGTTAACACATTTTTTGCAAAATATTTTGTTTTGAAAAAATCATTAGTGTCTAACCAAATATAAATGTATTAACCTAAACAAGTGTGAATTATTCAATGTCCATGGTTTTATTAAGATACAATGTTACTATATAGAATGTAATACAATTACCACAATCTTCTTACCTTTTATTTTTCGAAGTTTACTTTTATTACACTCCATTAAATTCCATAGAAAGATATATCTTCATATAAAAAAACTTAATTCCATAGTTTTATATTTCTTGGTAAAAAATTAGTAACTTTTTACAAAATGATAAATTACAAATTTATCACATCCTGTAATTTTTAAGTAGTTATTGCATCTTTTAAAGTTCATTCATTTTTATATAAATAACAATAAAAAGTGAAGTTTTAAAATAATTTTATTACACTCAGTAAATATGATATCAAAGAAAAATTAATTCATCAAAGAATGAGAAATATGAAAACTTTAGCATCCCCACAAACTTTAAAATAAATACATTTTGAGGTATATAAAGGGAAGGAATTGCAATTGAAAATACCAAGAAACTGTGCATACAGATATATATTACAACTTGCAGAAAAACAAATACATAAATTTTCAAAGCTTGTAAAAAACATAGAGATCCAGATCCTTCTATATACTTTGAGGACCAAAGATCTCCCCTTAGAGGACCTAATGTCTTCTGGAGACCTAAAAACAGGAACACACAAATAACAAACAAATAAGAATACCTGGAGAATCTGATATCTCAGATAAAGATGATTAATTCCAATCTCCAGTATAGAAGCAATTACAAACACTGGGGCAAACGAGAATGGATTTAAAATCACCACTATTATTTACTGAACATTTTGGAGCTTCTGATCAAGCAATAACAACAGCAAAACTAAAATACTGCGATGTGATACATGACTCAGATACAGATTTTCAAATTTTTCCCTAATTTACCTAAGCAGTGGAATACTGTAACTCAAGCATCTCGAAAAGTGTGTACAGCTTGAAGCAAGTGAGTGTTTGTAAGGGTGATTGGTGCAAGAGCTGATTTCGGCTATACTGCTTCAAACATTTGTTTTAAATACCATACAATTTTTTTAAACAAATTCAAAATTTTAAAAAATTGAATTCGAAAGACATGGATTTTCTAAGTCCAAGTATCAAATGAATATTGTTCGGGTTTCAGATTCATTTATGGTCATCGCGAAAGCCAAAAAAATCGGGAATTGAAGCTTTTTGAATGGTATTAGAGATTCTGGCGGCATCAGTGGAATACATGGCAACAGATTCCGTAGTAGCAGAACCGAATTTTCGTTTAAACTTTACAGTCAAAATGTTTGCTTCAAGAAGTTCCTGGTATAATTCTTTTGATGATTAAACGTGCCCTGTTGCATTATCTAGGTGGATTTAAGTTACACAGCAGAATGACCAGGGAACCAATCTCTAACTGATGAATATGTGGTGACATTCCTGATACATCTAGAGAATTCAAAAACTCGGTTGGAAAATTTACGGTTTTGTTTTCATCAACAATAGTGTCAATCGGTTTAAAAGGTGTTGGATCAACTGGCAACAACCCTGTGTCTGGAAATATATTTCATCCCAATATCAACATTTTTTTCTGATTAAGTAACAGGATTATAGAGGCA